CAGCGCCAGCTCTGCCCCGTCGGGCAACCTCTCGACGCCCACCGCGACTCCGCCACCGAGAGCGACATCGCACCCACATGATGATGTCGCTCACCGTCAAGACGCCGACGATGACCTGGTTGACCCCCTCGGACTGAGTGGCAGCATAGACGACGCCCCGCCGACGCCCCACGCTGCCGACGATGCCGCCCCATCGAGACGCCACCCGACCACGCGGCCGACCTCCGAGCCCTCCCACGGCATCATGATTGGTCCTACCGTGCCACCCACTCCGTCCCCCCACCAGCGCCAGCCCGCGGGGGCGGCTCCAGCCCCCCGGCAGGGCACCGAGCCAGTCAGGCCGTCGCACCCCGTCCACGCTTTCACTGTTGCTGGGCGCGAGGATGCGGCTCTTCCGACCTCACGGGGCGTGGCCCTAGCGGCTCCAGCCCTGGGACCGCGTGTTACCCTCCAGTCGCCTCTCAAGGGTGACGGCCGCCAGCACACGGAGCGCCGTACTGCGCTAGTCCACCTGGACAGGCGCACCGATGACCTCGTCCCTGCCACGAGGCCCGCGGCCGCAGGCACTGAGCAGCCGCCCCTCACCGACCGCGAAACCGAGCTGTCCCAGTCTATGGCCGCTCTTCAGCAGAGGTGTGCTGCTCTCGCCGCCGACCTTGCCGCTGCTCAAGCCCGTCAAGGCCCTCTGCTCCAGCGCCTCCACCGCGCCGGTCGTGCCTTCGCCGAGCTGCTTACGCCCTCGCCCGATGGTGCTGCGCCGTCACTCACCATCCAAGCTATGCTGTCATCGCTCCGCGGCGCTCCGCCTGGTGCCCCGCGCTAATTTCCTCCTTTCTGCCTGCCCGTGTGTACGCGTGGCTCCGCGTCCACGGTGCCAGGGCGCGGGGGCGGGGGGTGCCCCGTCCCTGCGCGCCGCTTTGCGGCCAAGCGCCCAACTGGCGGTCTGCCAAGCCGCCTAGCCACGTGTCAGCACGTCGCCTTCCTTGTTGGGGCCTCCTTCTTCACGCGGTCTGACACGTGAGATCTTCACCGTCTGTCCGCCGTCTGTAGCGTCTGTCGCATTGCGCCGGGGGAGGGGGTTTGTTGCCCACCCTCGTATCTTAAGGCTGCACCGCCGCAAATAGTGCTTGGCGAGTTGCCGCACCGCAGTGCGCCTCGCGGACGGACCCTGGTCCGCCTACTTGTCAGATCTCTCTCTCTCTCTCTCTCTCTCTCTCTCTCTCTCTCTCTCATCTCTCCCTCTTTCTCTGTCTCAGTCTCTCACTCTCCCTCTCTCTGCCCTCCCGCGCGCGGGCGCCCGCTCCGCCGCCAGGGGGGCGGCGATTGTAGCGGGGTGTTCGTCGTGGCTCGGGGGGGGGGGGTGGGGAGTTGAATTTCCAAAAAGTGTGTTTTTTCCCCCCTCCCCCCCCCCCCCCAACAAAAAAACAAAAAAAAAAAAAAAAAAAAAAAAACGTTTTATTCCTCCCCCTTCCCACCCCCCCCCCCCTCCCCCCCGTCCCACCCCCCCCCCCCCTTTCGTCGCAATGCATTGACGTCGCATGCACCGCGTTGCAATCGCATTGCAACAGCCGCAGTATTGGACCCTCCCTATTTCACTGTGTTCCAATCGCATTGCGCTGCAATCGCATTGCATTGCATTGCAATCGGATTGCGTTGCATTGTATTGCAATCGAATTCATCGCATGTGCCGCTTCTGCAGTGCAATCGGTCGCATTGCAATCGCATTGCGTCACGTTGCAATCGGATTGCATTTGCTATGCTGGTGCGCACGGGTTCGGCGACCCGCGCAGGGATTGGGGACGGATGGTCTTACATGGGAAGAAGGAAAAAAAAGAGGAGGCGGAGGAGGAGGAGGAGGAGGAAGGGCCCCGAAGGCTTCAAGCATCCTTGCCTCTGCGGGTCCACGCGCAGCACCGCAGGGCACCAGAGCCGTCCTCTGCGGCCTTGCGTCCTGCGGCTTTATCGAGTGAAACGCTCCTCCGCCCCTCTTTTCTGAATGACTATTTGGTGTTTTTTTCTTGCTTTATCATGCTATTTTCAAGTTCTAGCATGGGGATGGGGAGGGGTGTCAATGCTAATGCTAATTCCAATGCCAATGCGAATGCCAATGCTAATGCCAATGCTAATGCGAATGGGAATGCCAATGCCATTGCTAATGCCAGTGCGAATGCCAATGCTAATGCGAATGCGAATGCGCATGCTAACGCTCGTTCCAATGCCGATGCCAATGCTATGCCAATGATAATGCTAATGCAAATGCGAATGCTAATGCTAATGCAAACGCCCATAGTAATGCCAATGCGAATGCTAATGCCAATGCGAACGCTAATGCGAATGAGAATGGTGATGCCAATGCTAATGCCACTGCTAATGGCCATGCCAATGCCAGTGCTAGTGCAAATGCCAACGCGAGTGCTAATAACAATGCCAATGCCAATGCTAATGTTGATGCTAATGTTAATGCTACTGCCAATGCTACTGCTGATGCCAATTCTAATGCTAATGCCAATGCCAATGCTAATGATAATGGCAATGCGAATGATAATGCCAACGATAATGCCAATGCTAATGCTAATGGCAATGCTAATGCTCATGCTAATGCTAATGCCAATGCTACTAACAATGCCAATGCCAATGCTAATGCTGATGCTAATGCTGATGCTAATGCTAATGGCAATGCCACTGCCAATGCGACTGATAATGCTAATGCTACTGCGACTGCTATTGCGAATGCTAATGCGAGTGAGAATGTTAACGCGAATGCTAATGCTAATGCTAATGCCAATGCTAATGCTGATGATAATTCTATTGCTCGTGACAATGCGAATGCGAATGCGAACGCTAATGCTAATGCTGATGCGAATGCCAATGCTAGTAATAATGTCAATGATAATGCCAATACGGATGGTAATGCCAATGCTAATGCTAATGCCAATGCTACTGCCAATGCCAATGCTAATGCTGATGCTAATGCGGATGCTAATGGTAATGCCAATGCTACTGTAAATGCCACTGACAATACTAATGCTACGGCGACTGCGAATGCTAATGCTAATGCGAATACCAATGCTAATGCTGATGATAATGCCATTGCTCGTGCTAATGCGAATGCGAACGCTAACGCTAATGCTAATGATAAGGTCGCCCCACCTCAATACCTACCTTTTGGTGGGTTCTGATCACACATGTTCTCCCGTCCCCCCACATCTCTTCACCCCCCATCCACTTTCTTCGTTCTTTCTTTCTTTCTTTCTCTCTCTCTCTCTCTCTCTCTCTCTCCTCTCTCGTCTCTCCTCTCTCTCGTCTCTCTCTCTCTCTCTCCCCCTCTCTCTCTCTCTCTCTCTCTCGTCCTCTCTCTCTCTCTCTCTCTCTCATCTCTCTCTCTCAATCTCTCTCTCTTCTCTCTCTCTCTCTCCTCTCTCTCTCTCTCTCTATCCTCTCTCCTCTCTCCTCTCTCCTCTTTTTTTTCTCATCTCTCTCATCTCTCTCTCTCTCTCGCGTCTCTCGCTCTCTCCTCTCTCTCTCTCTCTCTCTCTCTCCACGTCTCCCTCTTCTCTCTCTCTTTCTCCTCTCTCATCTCTCTCTCTCTCTCTCATCTCTCTCTCTCACTCTCTCTCTCTCTCCTCGCTCTATCTTATATTATCCTCCTCCTCCTCCCCTCCTCCCTCTCCTCCTCCTCCTCCTCCTCCTCCGCCTCCCCCTCCTCCTCCTCCTCCTCAAAGGGATTCGATTGGAAAGCCTCGCAAAAGGAATCCTTTGGAAAGCATCACAAAGGGATCCACTGGAAAGCCTCGCAAAAGGAATCCTTTGGAAAGCGCGACAAAGCGATTCTATTGGAAAGCCTCGCAGCAGGAATCCTTTGGAAAGCGCCACAAAAGGATTCCATTGGAAAGTCTCACAAAAGGAACCATTTGGAAAGCACACAAAAGGATTCTATTGGAAAGCCGCACAAAAGGAATCCATTGGAAAGCATCACAAAGGAATTCTATTGGAAAGCCTCACAAAAAGAATCATTTGGGAATCACCGCAGATGGATTCTATTGGAAGGCCGCGCAAAGTAATTCTATTGGAAAACATCACAAAAGGAATCCTTTGGGAAGCGCCGCGAATGCATTTTATTGGAAAGCCGCACAAAAGGAATCCTTCGGAAGCATCGCACAGGAATTCGATTGGAAAGCCTGACAAAAGGAATCCTTTGGGAAGCACCACAAAGGGCTTCCATTGGAAAGCCGCACAAAGGAATTCTATTGGAAAGCCTCACAAAAAGAATCCTTTGGAAAGCACCACAAACGGATTCTATTGGAAAGCCGCGCAAAGTAATTCTATTGGAAAGCATCGCAAAAGGAATCCTTTCGGAAGGGCCACACATGGATTCTATTGGAAAGCCGCACATAAGGAATCCTTCGGACAGCATTACACAGGAATTCGATTGGAAAGCCTCACAAAAGGAATCCTTTGGAAAGCACCACAAATGGATTCTATTGAAAAGCCGCACAGAAGGAATCCTTTGGACAACATCACAAAGGAATTCTGTTGGAAAGCCTCACAAAAGGAATCTTTTGGAACGCACCGCAAAGGGATTCTACTGGAACGCGCCGCTGTGCGGCCTGAACTACAGACGGCGGCCCCTTCGGTGGAGGATGAGGCCTGGCGCAGGTTCGCAAAGGGAGAGGCGGTGGCCGCTCTCAGACAAAGCCCGCCTGTCTCCGCCAACTCCTCTATCGCGCCAAAAAACGCCCAAGAGCACTACCCAGGGGGAGGAGGAGAAGGAGGAGGAGGAGGTGGAGGAGAAGAAGAGCACCGGAGGGGGAGGTGGACGAGGAGGACGAAGAGGGCGCGGCGGAGGAGGGCCGGCGCAGCCGCCAGGAACCCAGGCCGTGGACAAGGCACCCGCTGCCAAGCGCGCGCCTCGCGTTGATGCTGCCTGCCCGCATCCTAACTTCCACTTCCCCTCCCTCCGCCCTCCCATGCCCTCCTTCCTCCATTCCTGCGCGTTCGGATCAAGTGGCGACAGCCGTTGTATAGCTGTGGATCAGCTCACTGGGCACCTCGGTCAACATGCCGTGAAAGGTGCTCGGCTCGCAGTCGCTGTCCAAGCGCCTGCGCTTCTGCCTGGCAGGATCCGCCACCTCGATGTCCTCGACCTTGTTGCCCACTTCGGCCCTCATCGGGCCGTGCATCACTGTCTTGTCGGCGCACGTAAGCAACCAAGCATTCTCTGGCGATGGCACTCCCACTGGTCCCAGAATAGTACCTTGCGTGCTGCACCCGCTGTAGTGCTTCCGGGGTTTCTTCGAGGGCTGGAAGGCGTCACGACTGACGATGTGGATTGTTTCAAGCTGGGCAAGCGCGACGCCCTCCTGGCTGGGAGCAGGGGTGATAGCACGGCTCGCTCCATCCAAAACCTTGCCCTCTTGCGTCCCCCAACATCATCGTCCTCCCTCTCCTGATCTTCGTTGCGCATCCTCCTCTTCCTTCTCCAGCGCCTCGTCGTCCTCCCCCTCATCCTCGTTCTCCTCCTCCTCCTCCACCCTCCTCTCATTATGTGCTTCCTTCCTCTGTTTCACTCCTTCCACCTCCCTCGTCCTCTGTCATCCGCACCCCTCCTTCCTGATCCCTTCTGGTTGACCTCCCGGGCTCCTTCAGCCTGGTGCATCGCGCCTCCATCGCGCTCTCGCTGTAATGGATGTGGATATGCTTGGCAGTTTTGCTGAGGTACTTGTTCTCACTGTTACAAAACGAGTTGATAATGAAACCTTTGTTGCCAGCCAGCCCACCATCAAAGATCGACCAAACGTCACCAGTGTCAAACTCCTCTGCATTGCCACGGGCAGCATTGACGGCCATGAGCCGAGGACCCAACACATTGACCTGGTAAGGACTTTGATAAAGCAGGAATATGTCTCCGCGCCCACCCCCCCCCCCCCCCCCCCCCCCCCCCCCCCAACGCACACACTGTATCACACACACACACCACACACACACACACCACACACGCACACACATCACACACACACGCACACACGCATCACACACACACACACACACACGCACACACACACAAACTCGCGACACACACACACACACACACACACACACACACACACACACACACACACACACACACACACACACACACACACACACACACACACACACACACGCACACACACACACACACGCGGCCACAGCGTCGTCGGCGCTCGGATGGCCCAGTCGTAGGCCGCGAGCCCCCCGAGGCCCCGCTGAAGTTGAGCATATAAAAAAACAGATCCTTTCCTTCTTTCCTCCTCCTCCCCCTCCACTAAGGGTCTGGTTATCATATGGCAATGCGTTTTTCCCCTGGAATGGGAGGCGGGGCTCAAGCGGGCTGTCGAAATGTCATCGATCATTTGTCGTTCGAGGGGGGCGCGCGGAAGTCAAGCGGAAGCCGTGGCATTAATTTTTCAGTCGCTCCGCCTTGAAAGACGGAAGGCGCAAGTGAGGAGTTGGCGCCGCTTCTCCTGCTTCTTTATTGTCGTATAGTATCAAGGCTTTCTTGTCCTTGTCACCCTTTATCGATCCAACGAAACTGTCCGATATGGCCTTGGCCATTCCGTTCACCGCTGTAGACTCAGGGGCCATGGCAACGTGATCGACAACCTTTTGCTGGGCCTGCTTCTCCAGATCCTTCAGCTCCTGCTTCTGGGCGTCGCTCGGCGAGGCCAAGCGTTCGACAACGTTCCAGTGCCGTTGCAAAGCCTCTTTGATTCCAGGGACCTGCCGGTCTATTGTGCTTGACAGAGTGGAGGCGCCGCCCTGGGTCATCGAGAGCCCGACTGCAACAGCGTGTTCTTGGGCATCGTCTGGGATGTCTTCTGCGGCAATCCGACGATTTTCTGGAATCGCGCCCAAGTGCGAATGGCATGCCTCAAGCATATTGCCCAACTTCTCTTTCGCGCATGGCTTTTCGAACAGCTCCTCAGGGGCGCTGGCGAAGCGCGCGGTGTTCTTAATCGGGTTGTCGTAGAGGGTTCCGTGCACAATATCCTGTGGAGCTGACAAGCATAAAACAATGGCGAGGCGACGGTGACACCCCCCCCCATGCCTTTCCCTCTCCACTGCGACGCCCAGGTGATTGCATCAACCACCAGGCGCGCGGCGCCCGATGCCGGGGGCGGGGAGGGGAGCGATCAGGGGGGGATGAGGAGGGGGGAGGAGGAAGATGAGGGAGGTCAGGAGGAGGGGTAGAGGGAGTAGGAGGAGTAGGAGGATGAGATGGAGGAGGAGGAGGAGAAGGAAGGAAGGAAGAGGAGGAGGCGCGAAGGAGGAGGATGAGGAAAGGATGCATTTTTCTATGATGGCCCCGCGCGTCCCCGAAGAAACCGAGGAGCTCGCGCAAACACGGCGGGTGCTTGCGCAGCCACTGGCGCGACTTGGTCTGATCGTCGTAGCCGAACAATTCCCTGTAGTTCTTGTGGCTCCCTAGATAGGACTCAACGGCCTGCTTCTCCTCGATGGGGAAGTTCAGCGGGCCCAGGGCCGACCCCAACGTGCGCGACCTCAACGCGCGCTTGAAGATGTAACCATCCGCGGCGCCCTTGGCCTGAGGCTGGCCCTCGCCGCTCAACATTCTAACGCTGAAGAAGCTTGCGGGCTGAATGTTGTTCAGAATGCAATATGTGACGCAATGTAAAACCCAACGGACGAGGGCAATGCCAGTCTCGCCTTGGCCGTATTTCTTTACAACTGCTTCCATTTTATACGCAGAATCCCAGGGTGCATACTTGCCCCAGCGCTCCTCGGCATCCATCAGTATTGCCCGGGCTTGGGCGCCCCCAAGCGCGCGGCCGTGCGCGGTCATCGCCGCGTCGACGAACCCCAAAGAGATTGGCTCACTCATTGGGCTTGCCTGGAGTTTGGCAGACCGCGCTTTCATAAGTTGATCCACCGTCATCCTTGAAGAGGTGCGCTCCTCCTGAGCGGCCTTCCAGTTCGCGATCTCGAACGCCCGTTGAACTGAGGGATGTCGCAATATTTACCCATGGGAAATCATCGTCCTCCACGTTTTCGTCGCCCCTCCCCCGTTCACCTCCCTGCTCTTCCCTCCGCCCCCCCCTCTTATTCCTCCTCCTTCGTCTCCCCCCGATCTCCTCCTTTCGTCCATCTTTTTCAAATCCCACGAGAGTGAATTGAGCATAGCAGCGAAATGCTCAACCAAACTGTGGCCCGCTGGCGAGCCTGAAGTAGTTTCAGGCCATTGAATGCAACAACTGCGTACCCGAAACCCATTGTCGAATTTTCGGAATGGGTTTCCCCTTGGCACCTGCGGAACGGAACATTGTTGCGAAAGTCGTGCCGAAAGACTCCCTGATGTTGATCGACGCCCAATGCATGGCGTCCGTGTTCTCCACGTACATGAACTTCACAGGGGTGTTCAAAGAAGCGTTGGCCCACTCAGCTGCGCGGCCCTCGCCCCCCTGGACCTTGCGGATGCCCTCCGCGGCGGCCACGAAGGAAGCGTGCACAACTTCCTGGCGGCAATGAGAATGCACAGTTGGAGTAGGGCCCAACCGGGCCCGCAATGGCCAATCTGCATGAGCCACGAACCGCGTGAGTGGCGTGCCACAATGGATGGGTCAGGTAGGCCGTGGGTGGGTTGTTGAACCATGTGGGCATCTTAA